GTCCCGCCTCTGTCAGTCGATTCCATACTGGTGGGGAGACCTGGAGAACAACATGATTTGTGTGGGGGTTTCTTGTCTTTTTACGGTAACGTACTGACAATCTTACTTCCTCGCTTTTCAAGGACTCCATCAGGTTTTTATTTTGGCTCCTAATAGCAGCGAGTATGTCGTCATCACTGTTGATTGTCAGCACGTTCCTCAATATGACCAACGGATCTTTATTTTTTGCCTGTTCAACTGATAACCCAGTATCACCGGCTTTAATTCGGTTTGTCACCTTTTCCATCTCTTCCTTAGTGCCACAGCCCACGATCACCTTTTGGTCCTTAGCCTTCCTCAAGTTTTCTACTCTGAGCCCACTTTGCTTTGCGTTCACAGCCAGTCTGATCTTTTCAATAACATCGCCACTTGTATCTTTTTCATTCCTGGAGAAGATGGTTATAAGAAGGGTAAGGTGGCACGTTCAACCAGGTTTTAGTACTCGCCAATACGGCTTCACACCACAGAGAAGCACCGAAGACTCCCTCTATGACATGATGAATTACATACGTATACAGTTACGAAATAAGAAGATAGTGACCATGATATCTCTTGACATAGAGGGAGCATTCGATAGTGCTTGGTGGCCAGCAATTAGATGTCGGTTGGCTGAGGAAAGATGCCCTATAAATATTAGAAAATTAATTGATAGTTATCTCCAGGACAGAAAAGTTAGAGTGAGGTATGCGGGTGTGGAGCAAATACAAACAACTACAAAGGGGTGCGTACAGGGCTCCATAGGTGGCCCGGTTCTGTGGAACTTGCTTCTGGACCCTTTGCTAAAAGAGCTGGAGAAAAGGGGTGATCGGTGTCAAGCGTTTGCCGACGACATCGTCCTGTTGTTTGCGGGTGACACGGCTCTTGAGATCCAAAGACGTGCGAATGCCGCTCTTGAACATGTTCGGAGGTGGGGAATCCGTAACAAACTCAAATTCGCGCCACATAAGACTAAGGCTATGGTTATAACTAACAAATTGAAATACGATTCCCCACGTCTAAACATGGGCGGGATGGGCGTTGGCATGTCGGAGGAGATTAAGGTGCTTGGTGTCACCGTAGACAAGAAACTCACCTTCAACACCCATGTGAGAAATGTGAGTCGGAAGGCTACAGCACTCTACGGACAACTATCGAGAGCTGCAAAGGTTAGTTGGGGCCTTCAACCAGAGATCATCAGGACGATGTATACGGCGGTCGTTGAGCCGATAGTATTGTACGCGGCGAGCGTGTGGGCGCCAGCCGCTAAAAAGTTGGGAGTCCGAAAGCAACTGAATACTGTGCAGAGAGGATTCGCTCAAAAGATCATAAAAGCGTACCGTACTGTATCCCTACACTCGGCGCTAGTATTGGCTGGTCTGCTTCCTCTGGACTTAAGAGTCCAAGAAGCAGCATCACTTTTTGTAGCAAAGCGAGGGAAACTCCAGTCAGTGCTGGCAGACCGAGTGGTGGAGACAAAGGCGAGCTGCACGGAGTTGCCCCATCCAGCATCCGATATGGGCCTGAAATTCATATGCCTGGTAAATGAGGACGAAACTAGACGCAACAACATCCAGAGTCTCCGAATATTTACCGACGGGAGTAAAATAGAGGGAAAGGTCGGAGCGGCATTATCTTTTTGGAATAGTGCCGCCGAGATCCGAACTCTGAAGCTCAAACTGTCGGACCACTGTACCGTTTACCAGGCAGAATTACTGGCGATATACATGGCAACTGAGCGGATCCTTTCTAGCGCGGAGACAACTTTCGGGGTTTACAGTGACTCTAGGTCTGCTCTAGAGACCATTGTAAACCAAGACTCCCAACACCCTTTAGCAGTGAAGACCCGTAAAAACATCCACAACATCTTGGGGCAACAAAAAACATTACAACTTTTTTGGATTAAAGCCCATGCGGGTCTTGCAGAAAATGAACGTGCTGACGAGTTGGCAAAACATGCAGCGCTGCGAACAAAAAGAAGTCCGGACTATGACCTTTGTCCGGTCTCCTTTGTAAAGCGTCTCATTCGATCGGAGACGCTACAAGAATGGAACCGGAGATATGCAGAGGGAGAGACCGCTAAAATAACAAAAGTTTTTCTGCCGGACGCTGAGTCAGCCCACAAAGTAATAAGGGAAACAGCGCTGTCTCCGACGATGGTTCAGGCAATGACCGGACATGGTGGGTTTTCGTTGCAAAGAGAGCCCATCATGCATCTGTGAGCCCGAAATCGAGGAGACAGTGTTGCACATCCTTCTGGAGTGTCCTCGGTTTGATAAAATCAGATATAATCTATAATCTCGAGTTTCAAACCAATCTACAAATTAAAAAAGACAATTTGCATATATTGTTAAAAGAAAAAAGGACAAGAAATAATTTTATAAAATTTTGTGAGGGGGTAGTAAAACAAGTGATTAAAAATAATCAAAAGTAAATTATTTATAATTATGTAAAATAATTTAAGATGATGAAAATGTAATGTGATGTTTGTAATTATTTATTATTATTATTGATATATATGTATTATTATTATTATTATTACTGATTATTTATGAAATAGTTCGAATCATTTTAGGAATTATTGAATTAATTAATTATACAATTTTATTGGATGCAAAATGTAATGATGACTATACACTAGGTGCTTCCTTGTGTTTATACGATGTATATACAGAGAGAATGCACTGATTCAAAATTCAAAATTTATAAATATTTATTTTATTTAAAAGTTTTATAATTAAATTGAAAGGTTAATTACACCAATGCGTTAAAAAAGACTCTGAATACATTCGTCAGAGGGCTGCAAAAAAAAAAAAAAAAAAAAAAAAAAAAAAAAAAAAAAAAAAAAAAAAAAAAAAAGGGAGGCATTGGCCGTTAGTTTGAACATAGCGAAGGCCTTCGATCGGGTCTGGCACAAAGCGCTTCTTTCGAAGCTTCCTTCCTATGGGCTTCCCGAGAAATTGTGCAAATGGATCACCAGTTTCCTTGCTGATCGGAGCATCAAGGTCGTAGTAGACGGTGCATGCTCTGATTTCATGCCTATCAACGCTGGTGTTCCACAAGGCTGCGTGCTATCACCAACGCTGTTTCTCCTGCATATCAATGATATGTTGGTAACTGGTAGCATTCATTGCTATGCGGATGACAGCACTGCTGATGCCTTATATACCGGCCGTGTCATTATTTCTCGGGAAAACGTCGCTGAGTACCGGGACAAACTTGTGTCTGAAGTCGAGTCTTTGCTTAACAAAGTCTCGGATTAGGGCCGACAAAATCTAGTCCAGTTCAATCCCCAGAAGACACAAGTTTGCGCGTTTACCGCTAAAAAGAACCCCTTTGTCGTATCTCCTCAGTTTCAAGGTACTCCCCTTGCTGCCTCAGCTAGTATCGGAATCCTTGGCGTCGACATATCGAGTAGTGTGCAGTTTCGTGGTCACTTTTGGAAGGGAAGGCCAAATTGGCCTCTAAAAAGCTTGGCGTGCTCAGCAGAGCGACACAGTATTTCATGCCGGCACATCGCTTGCAACTTTACAAAGCGCAAGTTCGGCCCCACATGGAATACTGTTCTCATCTCAGTGCAGCGACATGAGACTGTGTGAAATTAGTATGTGTGAGTGCGGTATGACTGAGGAGGATGTTCACCATGTGTTATGGGAATGTCCTCTGTATGACGACCTAAGAGTGAAAATGATGGATGGACTAGTTCGTCCGGTTCAGGGACCGATCTACTACTCGGAACTCGTCAGCGATGTGGTTAACTACAGGCTGTTGCGCGAGTTTGCGCATAGGTGGTACGATCGCAGAAAATGGCATGACAGAGGGCTGGTAGGAAGGCCCGACGACGTAGGCATAAGTGTGTCGTCAGCCCCAGAAGGGGGAGAATGACGTTAAAACTGGGACAAGGATCAGATTAAATAACTTGTAGAGAGTCAAGAAAGTGCACGCGGGAAAGAGCCCAGAGCAAGTACCGCGTGCATCTCTCGAGATTCGGCCCGTATGACCTGAGGGTCGGTGGGGCCATGGGAGGTGGAGGGTTGTTCTCATCTCAGTGCCAGCTTCTTCCACTTGACCGCATCCAGCGCAGAGCGGTTCGAATCGTCGACGACCGAGTTCTTTCTGATCGGCTCGATACACTGGCACTGCGTAGAGATGTGATGATGATGCATCTCATTACGTATTTTATCGCATCTATCACGAGTGCTCTGAGGAATTGTTCGGACTAATTCCAGCCGCTCAATTTCACCATCGCATATCGCGACAAAACTCGCGTTACCATCCATACCATCTGGATGATTGGCGGTCCACCACTGTGTAATTTAGAAGAAGTTTTCTCCCTCGCACAACTTCCTTGTGGAATCAATTACCACGAGCGAATTTTCCGGACCGATACGACTTAGGAACCTTCAAGAAAAGAGCTTACACCTTTCTAAAAGGCCGGCAACGCATCTGCAATTCCCCTGGTGTTGCGGTTGTTCATGGGCGGTGGTAGTCACTTGCCATCAGGTGAGCCGCATGCTCGTTTGCCCCCTCTTCTATAAAAAAAAAGAAAGTTATTTCGCAGGTACAATTCTGCGTTAAAATAAAAAACCAAAATTAACTTTCATGTTGCCATATTATATATTATATAATATAAAGCAATGCTGTCAATTATTTATTGAATTTTCATCCAAAACATGGCTTATCTCGAAAACGTTACTTTTTCCACTTTAATGGTAATTTTGTATCAGTAAACCCCTGATGGCAAAGTTAAACGTCTATTGGGTTAAGTTACCAGACCTGACTGTAATAAAAATGTGATAAATAATAGTTAATTATACTGTCAATAAAATATGACTGTAATGGTATAAAATGTTTAATTTCAAAATATACAAATATAAATATTGAACAACATATAATAATATTATGTACATAATTATTTGGTAATACAAAAAATAACTTAATAAAACATTTGGTAATGTATGAGAAAGTTACAGTACATATTACATTTATTTAAAATTGGCACCATTAGCCATGAAGGCTTCAATTTCAGCGACCCTGTGAAACATTAAAAACTGTGATTAATTATCTATAACATTATTTATGTAAATTGTCATATTCTTCTTTTTTTTATAGGATAAGGGTGACAAACGAGCACACAGTCCACCTGATGGTAAATGGTTGCTGCGGCCCAAAGACATCTACATCTATCCTCTATTACAAATCAAAATGCATGCGTTGTCATTTGTGAGGACTAAGATGGAATGCCTCATTTCCAGTAAAAAGGGTCTCCGGTTCTACAGCAGCATTAAGCTGCTATTTTACGCTGGTATTCTGTGAGGGCGTGGTCCTTCCCCGGTCGAGCCGACCCATTCATGCTACAACTATACTACTAATATAGCTGCAGCATGGCTCTATCAACCAACCAACCAATCTACTTATTTATCAACCCAAAACAGTGAAAGCAAAGAGTCGCCACGCTTGGCAGCGGATTGGCGATTGCGGTACGAAACGCCTCGTTCTCTGTCTCGTCTAGGTATTATAAGTAAGTACAGGAGATATTATCAATTCAGGAGTCAAAAATGGTCAAGTCTGTTGTAAGCCATAGGTGAGCATATTATTATCATATATTTGCTAAAGTTTAACTGCTACAGTGGTAATTATTTTATTTGACATTATTCAGTAATGGAAATTTGGTTGAGTATAATACTCAACCAAATCTAAGAAATACCTTTTGACAGCTGTCAGAATTATTGGACTATGCCAACCAAAAAGTCGGCGCGTACAATATAAGATTCTTTAGAAATATTGATATTGATTCTTTAGAGCTCGTAATAATTTAAAACACAAGATTTATCAGTTTGTTCGTATTTGTTATTACTGCTTATTTCTACAACGTACAGCAACAATGGTGACTTTAATTTAACACAAATATACGTTTTCACATTTTCGTTTCATGAAGAAATTATAATTCCACAAAAAGTTATTATTTACGGATTTATTTAAAAGTTTAGAAAATAGCATCTTAGAGCAACCTGTACTTAGAGAACTGTCGCGCAGCGGTCATTTGACGGGGTCACGGATCATAAGATCGCATCATTGAAATTAAAACGAATAAGCAATACTATTGAAGGAAAGACACATCCTTTTGTCAGCAAGCGGGCGGCGCAGGCGACGCGCCAAAATCTATTTTTTTTTGCATTTCTAGTGCTAGCCGTCCGTGTCCTTGACACACTTCACAGTAGTGCGCATAATTATAACCTGTCGGAAATATCTGCGAACCTGGCTTGATGACGCCATGCAATATGGAGAGATGGCAACGGTACTGGATAGACGATAACGGGCGGAAATATCTGCGAACCTGGCTTGATGACGTCATGCAATATGGAGAGATGGCAACGGTACTGGATAGACGATAACGGGCGGAGGTGCGGGGAAGCGCGAGGGGAAGCGCATTCCAGCGAGGTTCGCAGATATTTCCGACAGGTTATACGTCGACTAATATTTTTGTGAACTTTTCCGCGAAAAAGACGCTTATCTATGGTTTTATTTATTATTTTTTGTGTAATTAGGATAGTAATTAGATTATGGTACTGCGATAAAGACGCTTGTTTTGTTTTCGTTTTATAATCTAGTAGGTACCTACGTTTACATCTCTTGCGATACGGACGCTTTTATTTATGTTATTAGTGCTTGTGTATACTTGTGATCGTAATGGCAAGTATACATCCGAACTACACAGCAGCTGAATATGCGGACATGATCCTAATTTACGGAGAATGTCAAAATTCCGCCCTTGTGATAAGGACCTGTCGCGAAAGATATGGCCATTCAAGACAATGTCCTACTCATCCTCGCACTGTTGTAAGAGCATTGAAAATAAGAAAATTTAAAATAAAGACAAATAAAAGCAGAGATTGATGACAGTTATAACTAATAGTAATAAGACAGGGTGATATGATAAGTGTTTGACTAAGCACCTCCGCTTTAGGTACTTTCCGGCGCCTCTCGGTATCTTTGATAATAAGCCGTCAAAGAATCGGACCGATCACGAGTAGGTACAAGACGCGCTGCGCGGTTGCCAGCGGGCAAAGCGACGCGTTGCCACTCCGAGTTAAAGTAAGCCACCTAGGTAAGTAATTTCATGAATGAATTTTTGCAAGGGTGATCCCAATTTTAGTTACTGTTTTATTATTAAGTTTGTTTGATTTTTTTTTTCAATTTAAGAGTTATTTTAACCTATCAAAATTAATATCATTATAGTTCGGCCATTCAGAGAATGCGTTCCTGACACGTCGCGATTGAACTGATAACGTAACTTTGTAATGGCGTTGCAGTTACGATAAAAATATTTTTGCTGGTTGTTTACCGTTTTAACAATTGATGAGTATTAAAACAACATTATTATATCAATAATCAATGAATGTTATAATTTTATGCTAAACTGAGTGTCAAATAACTTGGTAAACAATATTTTTCTAAATCTATACTGCGCTATTACAAGGTTATGTCAGCGCTTTATATTTATAGTGCTGTGCTAACAATAACAGGCAATAACAGTATCGTAATCTGTTCTTATACAGTTATACTTTATAAAATAATACGTTTTGTTTTTCTTTTTAAGAATTTGAAAATAATAGACTATAAGATAACTGTTATTAAATATAAAAATAAAACTACGACCAAACCGAACGCGCGAAAGAAAGTAGCATTTTTATATTTAGGTTGAAAATGGTAACCCCAAATGGCGTTATGAGCCGCCAATTTGTGACGCTAAAACAGTCGTCTGTTGTCGTTTCGTGTGCGTAGACCACGTTCTTCAAGTGTTTTCGATCTGTTTTTATTTGATTACCCGGCTTTCGTTTAATGGACTGTTTCTGCTTTTCAAACTGACATCGACGCTAAATCGGATTTCTATTGTGTTTTGTATTGCGTTATTTTTACTTTTGGTGCATAATAATGCCTAAACGTGGACAAACACTGAAAAGTGGAGCCCGTGAGTTAATCATCAAGCTGCAAGATTACTTTGAGCGGGAGCGGCAAAATGGCGGACCCCTGTTAGCTGTCGAACAAGTACAAGAACGCGTCTCTCAGGCGCTTGGAGTTAGCAAACGAACGATAACAAATATTAATAAAGAAAAGTTCGGCTCTACTGGCACGGAAGATAATATTTTACGTACTCTGAAGAAGAAACGTTGAACTAAACCCGTGACAGATATTGACACCTTTGACGCAGATGCAATCAGAAATCATATATATGGTTACTATTCCAGAAATGAATATCTCAACAGGAAGAAGCTTTTGGTATCGTTAAGAGAAGCTGGACTGTTTAGCGGGGGTAAAACTGCTTTAACCAAAATCTTAAAAGATATTGGTTTTTCGTATAAATAAACAGACAAAAGAAAAATTTTATTAGAACGATACGACATAATTTTAAAACGGATAAGTTTTTTGAGAGAAGCAAAAAATATTGATAACTGGGATAATGTCGTGTTCATTGACGAGACATGGCTAAACGCCAATCACACGGTTTCCCGTTCTTGGACGGATGATACACAAGCGTCGACGTCGAAAGTACCAATGGGTAAGGGGGCCCGTCTGATAATATGCCACGCAGGTTCTGCAAAATACGGCTTTGTGGAGAACGCGTTACTGGTATTTCAATCAAAAACCACAAATGACTACCACGAGGAAATGAATGCCACTACATTTAAAGAGTGGTTCCAGAACGTGCTTTTGCCCAGCCTACCAGAGCCTTCTGTAATATTCATGGATAATGCCTCCTATTACTCGGTTCAAATACAGAAACCACCTACCCAAGCTAATAAAAAAGAAGAAATGGTGGCTTGGTTACAAGCAAAAGGCATTAACGCAAATATGCAGATGCTAAAACAAGAGCTAATTAAATTAGTTAAAGAAAATAAAGCGGCAAATGTGCGATACGAAATCGATGAACTGGCTCTGGAGTACGGTCATCGCGTTCTAAGAATTCCACCGTATCATTGCCAATATAACGCGATTAAGCTAATCTGGGCTCAAATAAAAGGTTACGCCGCCCGCCACAATACTTCCCCGCCATTCAGCACGAAAAAGATGATGACCCTATTAAAAGAAGCCTGCGGGGAAGATGACTGGGCAAAGGTTGTTGAGAAGACTAAAAACCTGATTGTGGAACATTTTGACCGAGATATCAGGATTGATTCTGTTATTGATAATAATATAATTATACATGTAGGCGAAGATGATGATGAAGACACCACCTCCTCAAGCGAATCGGAGTCTGATTAATATTCTGTACGCACATTCAATTCAATGTACTTTATTGCATAGAAATACAGATTGTAACTTTGTAACAAAGAATAAATAAAACAATTTTATTATATTAATATTACCTTTTTTTGCTTTCCACTTAAATTATTAAAATATAAATTTTAAATGATTCCGCCAATTTAAAAGGAAAATAATCTTAAAAATAACGCGGCGGTTCATTTTGGAGCAACGGTAACGAACTCAGTGTTATGTTGTGCCCATCACTAGTCGTGACTAACTGATAGGTGTCAGGAACGCATTCTCTGAACGGCCGAATTTTAATGGGTACTAGCCCTACCCGTGTGTCACCATTGTAGCGGCTACGTTGTATATTTTAAAATTTTAAATTATATTAAAAATAAATGTCACTTTCACTACAACTACATGAGTTGTTGTCGTTTAGATTATTATTGGATTTTCAATAATGTAATCAAAATGAATGTCTCTTTCAAAGTCATCCATAATAATTTTCTTTGTTTTCTCCACCACTTTTGCTCAATTATGCTTTGTGAAATTTCAAAATTCCGACTATAGAAATTAATAATGATACTTAAAATATTATTTAATTTTAATAGGAATTTCTTTATTTTAGTGTAGATATACTTACGTCCTTGGAACAGAGGTTAGATCTTCGATTCCATTTTCAGTAATTAGGACGTCATCTTCAATGCGGACCCCGCCGAAGCCTCGGTACTTGTCCACCATATCCCAATTGAAGAACCTAGCTTGTTCTTGGTTGTTCAGTGCACTATCCAAAAGCTGTAAAATTGCAACCTGTTAGCTAAATGTTTCTGCTTTTTTTATAGGATAGGTTGACAAAGCGAGCACACAGTCCACCTGATGGTAAGTGGTTGCTGTGACCCATAGACATCCACATCTATCCTCAATAAAGAACCAAAATGCAGATGCGTTGTCAGCCGTGAGGACTAAGATGAAATGCCTCTTTTCTAGTAAAAAGGGTCTCCGGTTCTCTACACTCACCATGCGAAACACAGCAGCATTAAGCTGCTATTTTACGCTGGTATTCTGTGAGAGAGTGGTCCTCTTACCCGGTCGAGCCGACCCAATCGTGCTACAACTATACCTACTATTAATATAGCTGCAGCATTGCTTTACCACGTATAAAAAAGATCTGGCATTCTCAGTTTATTTACATTAACAATTTACGCTTAAGAGGATTGTGAAGTGCCGATACACGGCGCGAGTAGGTATTTTCAAAAATGTTATCTGTTTCATAGAGATATACTGGGTGGCGCTTAGGTTATCACGTTAAATAGCACAGCAGTTAATACAAGTTGATATATGTCTGTTAAAATAATAAAATAAACAATAATGAAAGAAAATAAAAAAGGCATTTTTCAAACAAAATAAATAGCGTAAAAAATTGACAAGAACTAAATCATCCTTGATAATATTAGTTTACTGGCCGGAAGTGACCTGTAAAAGCGGCAACAGCACTCAGTGCTCACGTGACATTGACATAGGTAATTATAATACTGTAGTGTGGTATAGCCCCCACGACTATATATATGTGTATTAGAGTTAAGTTAAGAATAGAGAACAGTATAATTAAAGTTATAGAAGCAGCAACACGTCTCTATTTCATTAACACACTTCCTATATTACATGGCGACCCTGCCAGGCGGTGCGCTGCTACATTGCACGCGCACCGTCGGGCCTGCATAAAGAGAAAAAAAAATTACAAAAAAAATGGAAATCATCATGGATTGACCATTTAAAAAGAAAATTATAATATAACAGAATGGACGCAATACCGGATGTGACGAATAATAAGTGAATATGAATAAAAGAAGAGGCCACAATAATAATTGTACAGAAGCTGACTGATATATAAAAAGTATAATGAACATGAAGTAATATAATTTAAATGTATAATAGTACCTACTATGAAAGCAACTAAGAAAGAATGAGGAAAATAAAAAGTGTTTTTTTTTTCAAATATAATTACCAAAGAACAAAATTCAAGAAACGGCAGGTTTATTTGAAAAGGAAAGCAGCGGTTGTACTCTTGCAAGCTTCGTCCAGAAGAACAAAGAAGAAAATTAAGGGGTAACTTCGCACCTGTGTGATTTTAATTCCATTTAAAACTTTATTTATCAATTTGAGATTGTTTTTATATTTTGTTTTGCTATAATATTTGTTGAAGTTAAGTATTAAATATTCTATATTTAATACACGTATGTTTAAATTGAACTTATTTATCAGATAACTTACGATGCAATTGATTTTTCAATATTTTTATCACTATTTATATATATAAAAATGTAATCATAATACAATATCAAAAAAGCACATTACATTTTAGGCATTTATGGCATTTGTATTAAGGCACAAGACAATTTTATATTAAATTTTATTTAGTTACATATTGTTTATTGTTTTATATTATTTTTATAACTGTGCAGGATACAATACAAAAACGAATGAAATAGTATAGTAGATTACATTTTTACGTACTTAAATTTACCATAGTTTACAATATATTTATTTTTCGTATAATTAAAATAATACTGATATATTGTTAAATATGATATATTTCGTTGTTTTTTTTTCTGTAGTAAATTTTATTTAAAAACAATTCAGTATTGTTAATAAGTATTAGTTTTTCTTTTCTTTTATAAAGGCAGTGAACCTTAAAGTTATACTTATATAAATAAACCTACTTAAAAATTAAAATTGGTCTTTTGAATGCTTAAATAAATTAATGTTTTGTTGTGTAAAGTTGATAGGTGTTATAGTGATTATTCAATTATTTTCTGTAAACGATATAGTAAATACCATACTTCTAGCAATCTTTTTCGATCTAAGCAAAAGTAATGTGTCTAAAATTCTGTGTAAATAAGGAATTCAAAACTATAATTTTACTTGTATCCACATATTATGTATGTAATAATAACATTGTATAAGTTACGTTTAAATTAAGTGATCATAATACGTTGTAATCGAAAACGTTGCCATATACGTATTTTGTTAATTAAAACATAGGTGTCTCAAATCGCTTGCGCTGCTAAGAGTGGAATTACAATTTGTATTTTGATCTATCTGTTGTTATGTGATTATGTTATTGTTATTGAAAATGATTACGTTGCTTTGACTTCTTTGTTCTATTCATCTTAATATGAAATGTAATAATTTGTTTTCAGTTTTATGTTGTTTGAACTTTTAAATCGTAAGCTTGTAACTATTATAATTTATTAATTTCTCGGAAAATAGTACGTTCTTATGTAGACCATGAAAATATTTACTTCGCTTAATAGTTAAGTTATGTAGACAATTAAGTAATTAATTTGAAATTTGTTGTACCCATATTGTGAGCCTCAATCCTTGACTGACAATGATGTAACTAAATATTATACGAGACAATATGACATAATTTATAAAAGACGTAAGTAAATTTATGGATAAGTTACAGAAATTATCATTCTGAATGAAAAATATTGATAGAAATATAAGTAGAAAGTGTGGCATAGGTAAAGAAAAATTATCGGAGGTTAGCATATCCACATACAATCGGCCCGATCAGCTGAGAGTTTGGAAAACCTAATAACCGATTAATTTTTAAAGTTGTTCGGATTCGATGAAATAAGGAATGATTTTTAATGAATTGCTTAAAGAAATGTGACTTTATTAAGAACTGTATAGGAAGATTGTTCATTATCTTGATCATGTATTTACGCGAGTCGTGTACGTGAAAGTTATGGTACAATTAATTAATAAATTATATGAGCTGAAATGCTATAAATGTAAAGAGTTAAATAAAGTGATATTGGTCATTGTCTTGATCATGTATGTACGCGAGCCGTGTACGTGAAAGAAATGACACAAATATTGAAGGAATATGTAGCAAAAATGCTGAGAAGTAAAATGAAAAATAAATAATTGTTAAACAAGAATGAAGTAAATACATGAAGTAAAAAAGAGAACAAAGAGAAGTATTGAAGTGTGAAAAGATATATTATTAGAGTATTATAAATGTCCGGATTAGATGACATGTTCTGATGAATACGAATAAATAATATTGTAAATGTTTGCGAAAGTCGAAACATAATATTATGTTATACATAATTATGCCTGACTATGTCATATAATACTTCTGTGAATACACGATTTTTACTATAGAGCGTTGCCAAACGCCCTGCTCAATCTCAGTATACATTAGATTGTAGTACTTATAACACTTAGACTTAATTTCCACTAAATTTTAATTAAGATTATTCATCAATTATGCTTAGAATAGTTTTGAGGTTGGATAAAAAATAGATAACTTTATTTTTTATTTTTTTGTCCGTGGGAGGTGTAGTGTGGTATAGCCCCCACGACTATATATATGTGTATTAGAGTTAAGTTAAGAATAGAGAACAGTATAATTAAAGTTATAGAAGCAGCAACACGTCTCTATTTCATTAACACACTTCCTATATTACAATACCTACACTTGACCATACATAGGTAATTAGGCACGCGTAAGGCGATGCTAATCCCCGTTTGTAATGCTAATCCTTGTTTTTAACCAAATAATCATTTTAATCTTGAAATCACTCAAGTTTAATAATCAAAACAAATCAAATTTTGAAAAAAAAAATCATGTCGGTGTATTTGACGACGTGAAATTGTGATACAAGGCATCTTAAAATATAAAAAAGTTAAGACGTTAAAAAAATAAAAGCGTGCAATTGCGCACGGGATGTCAGACCACTAAGTTATTAAATATGATTATCTAGCGTATTTTTAATGTGTCCTATCACAAATAAAAAATACAATATAGTAAAAGAAAGCGTCCAATTTCGCACAAATTTTCACACCACCTTACAACTATTATTATCGTATTAACGTGTCAATCAAATTGGCACCGCTGGAGGGTCTACAGCACCGCCCAAATTTCGACGGAATCAAAGGCTTTCTTATAGTCCACATACGCCAGACATAGTGGCAAATTGTACTCCTCGGACTTCTGTACAATTTGCCTAATGTATGTGGTCTATGGTGCAAAAGCCTTTTCGGAAACCGGCTTGTTCGGAAGGCTGGAAGTCGTCGAGTCTGCATGCGAGAGAGTAAGCCTCAGTTTCCCTCTGTCGCCTCTTACGACACCCACGGGAAGATATGGGATAGTGGGTATTCTTATCCGCCATTACATTTTTATTGTGTTCCTCTAAATTTGTGAAAAGTATAGAAATGTACAAACCTTGTAATTAGAAAAAAAGTTTTCAATAATTATGACATAGTTAGACAATCTGTCTGACAGATAAATCCTCAGTTCTAAGTAAACTTATAATATTGTGGAATCAAAATTCGCGCGTAATTCGTCTCAGTTTGACCACTCCAAATTCAGTGTGGTGTGTGAGTGAACTCACCTTCGGTATAAAGTAGCAACCTGGCTCCACGGTGAGTACCATACCGGGCTGCAGCAGTCGAGCGGTGCGCAGCCTCGCGAGCGGGCCGCTCGGCCGCGGCGGGCAGTGCGCCAGGTACCCGCCCACGTCGTGCACGTCCAGCCCCAGCAGGTGGCCCAGACCGTGCGGCTGGAGAATTCCGTTTATACCATGCTGGGGACAACACAATAACACAGTGGATATTTGTTGCAGACGGCGAGGGGATCCGTCATCCCCCCCCCCCCTCCCACGTCGCCACGCACGCGACGACTTCACACCATGCGGCGCGACCAATAGTCGGAAGTACGTCGGCCGTGAAAATGAAAGGCGAGCATCCGGCAGGGGTACATTAGCGGCACAAAAGAGCTCCAGACAACAAGAATTAGAAAAGGAGATCCCTTTTACTGCCAGCTAGTTAGTAATAATACAGTGCCAACTCTTATAAATAGAGTAATACATTGTTTATAATTGCGCCCCTCTTTCAATTCACACAATTCTCACATCATATACACATTAAGGCGGCTCTTCACGTTGGCCAACATAGTGGCGAATGTGTTGGCCAATACCAATGGGCATCGTGTTGAGCGGGTGTTTGTGCTTCACTTGATATGTATTGGAATGATGGCCCACAAGTTGACGCGAGATCCGTGTGGAGTCGGTTTTTACAAAAGATCTAAGGGTTGTGGCAGAGTATTGGCCGCCGCGTCCACACGTTGGCCGAACGTTTAGTTTACTACGAGCTCTCAGAGTAATCGCATGTCATCATCATCATCATTACAGCCTTTCATAAGTCCACTGCTGAACATAGGCCTCCCCCAAGGAATGCCACAAAGCACGGTCCTGAGCCACCGGCATCCATCGACTTCCTGCATGTCTTATCAGGTCGTCACTCCATCTCGTGGGAGGTCGCCCTACACTTCGCCTACCGGTACGAGGCTGCCACTCAAGAACCTTTCTTCCCCATGGGTTGTCGGTTCTTCGAGCTATAAGGCCGGCCCACTGCCACTTCAGCTTACTAATCCGTTGGGCTATGTCGGTTACTCTGTTTCTACTGCGGATATCCTCATTCCTAAGTTTATCACGCAGAGAAACTCCGAGCATAGCCCTCTCCATAGCTCGCTGAGCGACCTTGAGCTTCCTCATACGGCCAGCAGTGAAGGACCACGTCTCAGATCCGTAAGTCATCACTGGCAACACGCACTGGTTGTACAATTTCGTTTTAAGGTTTTGAGGTGTGTCTGACGAGAAGATGTGTCGTAGCTTCCCGAACGCTGCCCAGCCGAGTTGAATCAGTCGATTGACCTCTCGGTCGAAGTTGGACTTACATAGTCGGACTATTTGTCCCAGGTAAACATACTCGTCAACAACTTCGAGCTTAGTGCTCCCAACAACTACCGCCATAGGTGTGACATGGACATTAAACATAATCTTTGTTTTGTCCATGTTCATCTTAAGACCTATCCGTTGGGAGACACTGTTGAGGTCATTGAGCATAGTGCTTAGGTCCTCCAGCGATTCTGCTATAAGGACTATATCGTCGGCAAATCGAAGGTGAGTGATGTACTCGCCATTGATGTTAATACCGTATCCTTTCCAGTTCAGAAGCTTGAAAACGTCTTCCAATGCAGCGGTGAAGAGTTTCGGGGATATAACGTCACCCTGTCTTACACCTCTCTGCAATTGGATAGGTTTCGTACTCTGGTTCTGTACTCGGATAGCCATCGTAGCCCTACTGTTCAAGCACTTTAGCACTTCAATATACCGACAGTCAACTTGGCACAGCTGAAGGGACTGCAGCACCGCCCAAATTTCGACGGAATCAAAGGCTTCTCATAGTCCACATACGCCAGGCATAGTGGCAAATTGTAGTCCTCGGACTTCTGTACAACTTGCCGAAGGGTATGTATGTGGTCTATGGTGCTAAAACCCTTTCGGAAACCGGCTTGTTCGGGAGGCTGGAAGTCGTCAAGTCTGCGTGCGAGACGATTCGTAATGACTCTTGAAAACAGCACGTAGACGCGGCTCAGAAGGGAAATCGGTCTGTAGTTCTTCAAGAAAGCATTGTCACCTTTCTTGAAGAACAAGACCACCGCACTTCTGCTCCACGCCTCCGGTGTAATGCCACCATGGAGGACGGAATTAAAGAGCCTCTGAAGGACTTCCAGTACCGGTTTTCCACCCGCTTTCAGAAGCTCCGCTGTAATTCCATCCTCGCCTGGGGCCTTGCCGTTTGTAAGGTGGTGGAGAGTCATTCTAATCTCGCTCCGACTGACGTCCGGGATATCTTCGGAATAGTGTCGGATAAGACTCGCTCTTGGATCGTTACTCACACTTGCGTGTGGCTCCAACGATGACGTGTACAGCTGTCCATAGAACCTCTCAATCTCACTCAAAATCTCAGGTGCCCTGGAAACGATGCTGCCACATTCGGTCTTCAGCTTTGACAGTTGGCTCTTTCTGGAAGACAGATCTCTGGCAAAGACTTTGGAGCCTTGGTTCCGCTCGATCGCTTCTTCAATACAAGCTGTATTGAAGTTGCGTAAGTCCCGCCGCATGCATTTGGAGATCTGTCTGTCAGTTGCCTGTATGCTGTCAAATCTGTTGAAGAATGTAGCTTCATCTCCCGTCTAACAGCCATGAGATTAAGAGTGTGATCGGAGAGTTTTTGTGTTCTTCTGCGGCGGGTCTTGTAGAACTTAGCTCCGACCGCATGGACAGTTTCAACGAGCTTGTCATTCATATCGTCCACTTCATTGCACTCTTCTAGGCACTGAAAAACAGTTTTGTAACTCGAGCTGAAAGGTTTCAGGACTTTGGAACAGATCACGAGGGGGACGGAGCGTTTACTTCATTAGACGAGACCTCTCCAACTTAACGTTTAGGTTCAGTGTGCCTCTAACCATTCGGTGATCGCTACCAGTTTTCAACCTCGCGATCACGGAGACATCACTGACCAGTTGTCGTCTGGTCGTCATAATGAAGTCAATCTCATTTTCTGTCGAACCGTCGGGACTCGACCAGGTCCACTTGTGTGGGGCCGCTTCTGAAAGAAAGAGTTCATCATAAAGAGTCCCTCTTTCTCCATAAAGTCGACCAGCTGCTGGCCCCTTGGGTTCCGTTGCCCTATTCCAAATTTCCCTACTTTCAGCTCACCGTTCTCTCTTGTGCCTAGTTTTGCATTGAAGTCTCCCATTAACTTCATATAGTAGGTTTTGGAGGAATGCATGGCTCTAGAGATATCTTCATACATTTCCTCCACCTCCTCATCGGGATGTGCCGAGGTTGGTGCGTTAAACCTGTATGACCTTCAGCGAATACAGTTTGGTGATTCTGAGTATAAGGTACGCAGCCCTCGACGACACACTCTCGATCTTTATAGCGTTGTTAACGAGAGACTTGTGGACGACAAATCCAACACCTCCTTGGGACAGATGGTCGCCCTCCCGGTGATAGAGCAAGTAGCCGGATTCGAGGAGTGTCCTCCCCCTCTCTTCGGACTTCGGATAATCCTATAATATGCCAGCGTAATTTGTCTATCTCTTCTTCCAGCTCCACGATCATCTCGTCAGTCCTCAGGGTGCGTGCGTTGTACGTTGCCAGGTCGAGTCGTCTAAGGTGGCAACCGAACCTCTACCAGAGATTCTTAGCACCCCCTGCCCCGCCGTTACCATGGTCGCCACCGTAAACAGGAATAGCGGGGCCGCCGGGGACTGGGGGCCGTCTCCTTGTTACTCTCTTCATAGGGGGGTATTTGCCATAGTTGCCACGCTTGGCGAGCGGGTTGGCAACCGCAGTTTTTTTTTATTGTTAGTTTGTTGTTATCAAGGAGATGCTGCTGCCCATCTCCTGCCTGTTTCCCTTTGTCGCCCTTTACGACACCCACGGGAAGATATGGGGTAGTGGATATTCTTGACTGCCACTACACGGCACATTTCCGCCGTGTAGTGGCGGTCAAGAATATCCATTACCTCTATTTTGATCGCATGTACCTGATTTAAATTTTATATTCACGCATCGTCACTAGTGTCTACAAAATGGCAGTAACAATGACCAATGAAGAAACTTTTCGCTTTATAGAGCTCTATCAAGCCGAAAATTATTTGTGGAACACAAGAAATAATATTTCTTTTTTTGCATTTCTTTTTGATCACACTTTCCTTATAAACATTTACATAGTAGCGGTATGCTGTGAATAAATAAACCGCAGCAGCCGTTAGCGCCTCAATATCTATTTTAATAAATTCGTCCGTACACTACCACAAGGCTAACAGTCTTTTTATAGATTAACAATCCACCTGATGGTAAGAGAATGCTGTAGCCCATAGACATCTAAATCCGAATTAAAATGGAGATGCGTTGTCAACTCTGAGTATTAAGATGAAATGCGTCACTTCCATTAAAAGGTTCTCCGGTTCTCTACATGTACGATACAAAAACCAGTATCATTAAGCTGCTATTTTACACTAGTATTCTGTGCAAGCATGGTCCTTCGGTCGAGCAGACCCATACGTGCAACAACCAAAATATAGCTGCAACTTAAAACGAAGTATACGCTTCTATGTAACATACCGACTTCATATATTGTTTGATATGAATATTAATTTTCACTTCATCATCCCTAATACTGTCAAATTTGTTTTACTCGACTTTGATTAAGTATAGTTTGCAAAAGTGAAAAATATTATGTTGCGTTTTCCTATATACTATGCATTTTTTGAAGAAAAAAAAACCTTCCCGAAGGTCTCGTTCGATAAAGTATACTTAACTGAAAATATTTTCAGTACCTTGATCATTTCTTCAACGTCTCCTTTTAGCAGATTGCCTCGCTTGAGGTGTTCGAGCATCGCTCTGTTCGCAGTTAAGTGCATATCGGTCCATTTCACACCAGGTTTTGCTTCCCTTTAAATAACAAAAACATACTTAATAGTCATGTTTATTCATGTATATATGAAATTTATAAGCAGTGGTAGCTCAAAGGTTATGTGCTCGCTGTAAATTTAAAGCAATCCGACAGCGAAACTCAAATAATAAATTAAATATAGTCTTTTAAAGATGAGACTTTATTTAAGCTTTATACGTCATTCACATGTCATTCATAAGCAGTAGATTCCAGTCGCGCGTTGGAACTGACAAGCACTTGTTTTAGTAGATAGGTACACCATCAATCACAGCCTATAAAAGTCCAATGCTGAACATAGGCCTTCTCCCCCATAACTTGCCTCATAGGCAATAGGGGAGCATTTTGCCATACTTGCAACGCTCAGAAGTGGGGTCGGCAATTTTTTAATTATTTTAAGTTGTCAGTTTTCCTCAGTCACCTCGTTAAACACCTACGGGACGATTTAGGTTTTTATTCTTACACCGCCACATGGTCGGAACTGGCACACATAATTTTTTAAGTGCTAGGAACAAAGAGCAAGAAACAACTACGCCGTTGGCTTGAAGCGCGGCAGCATAACGATTCTATGCTCTGTGGCTAAGAACCTTACCTGCGAAAATCAGTTATGGTAATTGATTGTTCCGCTAAATTTAAAAGGTTCTGTGTGAACATTGGTTACAAGTCACAACAGGATGCATTCATGAAATAATATTATAATTTCTAGTATTCATTGTAATGCCTGTTGTTTGTTGTAATATTGTCATATTGTGTCAATGATGCATCCACGACTTTTTCTGTCACCAGAGCGGCGCCACTTAAAAGTGAGGTATAATATTCGACAGATTTCATAGCGGGGGGAAGTTAATTTGTTTGGAAAATGTAAAGGTTAATGTTTCTTTCTGTACTTTTAGCTATATTTATATATTAATTAATATGATTAAAAATAAATAAACCAAACCACAGATATTCATAAAAGTAGAAAAAAAGAAGTCAAATATATGCAATAAAAATTAAAGAGCAAACAATTGAGGCATTGTTTTGTGTATTAATATAATACTCTAGAAACTGATAAACTTTTATTTAAAACTTACTACTCATATAAATGACATTGTATAACAAAAAAACTTCACCTCAGTGTCAAGTAGCGACATCTGGTGAGTGGAATAATATTAGCCCTCATTGTTTTGTACTCTGTATAGGCAGTTTGTGTAATGATTGTAGATATTATCTTTGGTCATAACTAGTATATAGAGTATATTATTATTGACGTACGTCAACTCTACTCATTGTTGTTTTGCGTCGTGCGTCGTGCATGACCTCGGCGGGACGTACAGCAAGATGAACAGTGAATAAACCGCTTTAAATTACTTTTACAACATAAAATCTATGATGTAACAATTTTACAAAAGTCGGTAACAGGGATAACATTATATTGTTAAAGGTACAATATTATATTCATTGCAAAAATACAATAGTTGGGATTAGGCACACTTTTAGTAGAAATTGTAACAAAAATGTTTGTTTTACCTGAAAACCGCATCCCTTGCCGCCAGTACGGCTTCGTAGATTAACTTCTGATCGTCTGTAAACTTCCCGTTGGCAGGAAATGAGCACGTTATATCCGCAGCATAACCAGCATAGTTGGCCCCCATGTCGAATAAACTGGAATTAAAGACTACTTTTAGCTATACAACGCATAACATAACATAAACACTCACGCCTGTCACCCAGAGGGGTAGGCAGAGACTACGGACTTCCATTTGGCGCGATCCTGACACACCTCTCTCGCCTCTTTAACATCCATACATCTACGCATACACGCTCGTCGGTTAAGGGCACTCCTAATCTGGCCCATTTTTAATGTATCGCCGATTTGGTCGATAAACCTTCGTCTAGGGCGTCCCTTCCCGACCCTGCCGTTCAATTCTGCAACATAAATTTGCTTTGTCACTCTTTCCTCGTTCATTCTTTCTACATGACCAAACCACCGAAGCATTCCTTTCTTAATCCTTGTCACAACGTCATCTTGCAAACCACACTTTTCTCTTATCACACTATTTCTCACCCTGTCATTCAGATTCAGCCCTAGCATACTCCTTAAGGAACGCATTTCTACATCATTTATTCTACTCTCATGCTTCTTCTGCCAGACCCAACTTTCACTACCATACATTAAAGTAGGGACTAACACAGCATTATGAATTGCCATACGTGCCTTAGTTGACACATTCTGACTCCTCATAATAGCGCCAACGCATAACTTGTCACATATATATCTATAGGTGAAAACTTCTAAATGGCCTTCTGGTTGTTATTCATTTATATATGTAATGTTAGCTGTAAGTTTAAAAAAATAAAATATAGGAATTTACACAGCCCCACGCCCACAACAATGTTATAATTGCAACGTCGCAATGTTTATTAAATACTAGCGCGTTTCCTCGATTTTGAATTTTTATAAAATATAATATTAGTGATTTTATGGAATTAATATGTACAAATAATCCATACAAGAAAAACAACCAGTTAAGGCAAAGCGATTCAGTCAGGTGCCAAGTTCATAAGTGGGCGACGTGTTATAAACATAAATAATACATTACTTACCACATATCACCATTTTGGATCATTTTGCAATTAGGGGCAGCTGCATGGCCATAGTGTAAAATGGCTGAGTTATCGCCGGACCCGCAAATACACGTGTAAGAGACGTGACGACATCCTCCAACACGGTAGCAGTGGTCTAGGAATACCGATTCGCACTGGTACTCCAATAAGCCGGGCTTCGCGTGAAGCATCACCTACGGACATTTTTAGAAAACCAGTTAACCTTTATTATTGGATAATTCTTCAAATAAAATAAATAAGGGACGGGAGAACTTTAAAATTTAATACTAATCTGGGAACTTATTATATGCAAACAAACAAAAGTTGAGATAATACGTTAGATTTGGGATATACTCATGTATTTTTGGATAATATGATGAACCAATTTCAAGATATTTACCTGTTTATGGGCATCAGAAGAAGTCTTGCACACGTAACGCATTACTTCAATCTCCTCTGGTGTTTTTATGACGCGTCTGTGAAATTACATGAAACATATTTTACAATATGAAACACCACACCTATGTATAATTTATATAAAAAAATACTTATTTATTAGGTGATACGTCTTTTTCAGTACAAAAGCTTGAGCTGTTATTGGTGTAGTATATTTAGATATATAAGAGGGTCTATAAAATTTATTCATTACATATTTGACTTTAGGTGGTAATAACGCACCTGTACTCTTTTTTTATTTGAATTGACTATAAGTGCCACTAAGCTGTAGTGGCTACTTATATAGATAAAATAGAATCAAAGGTCAAAACAATAAGTAAAAATAAATTAATAAGTAGTTTATTTATTTAGTTTTCTTCTTGATTACTAACGACCGCGGTGACAATTCCCAGGTAATCGCAGGCACTAATACTATAAATGATCGATATTCGATGACGAGTAAGTGTCGACAAAGTTGATACTGCGGTTAATTCTAAGTATCTTCGACATGAAACTAACCGCACCCATAACTTTGTCGACATTTAAATTCTTGTAGGTAGTTTAAATTAAAAAAAGAAATCAGTGAAACGTAAACGCAAGAAAAAACGTTGAGTCATGTTGTGGTTAATAAAATTCAATAAAACCTTTATAAAAAAAAAATGATAATCCCACCAAAAATGTAAATGTGATAAGGAGGGAAATTGAAACAAATGATGGGCAGCAGATAACTCAAAATAATAAAAAACTGCGCTTGCATTAGGCTTGCCAATCGTCCCGGATTTTCCGGGACCTCCCGCTTCTGGGTCAATTTTCCGTCGTGAGGGCCGTCTCGCCGTGACTCCATGAGAAACGCGTTTTGTCCCGAAAATCAGTGATTATATGATATATTATATCTATCTCGTACCAACTAATTTGTTACACATTATTAATTTTTTTTCTAACCAATTTGTACGCGGTGTGTTGTGTCCCGCGTAATATATCCAAGTCCCGGATGTCGAGCTGGGTAATCCCGGAAATGCTTTTTTTGGAGTTGGCAAACCTACTTGCAAATCTGCCTGCCAATCGTGGCAATTGTGACATAAACCCCCCTATGAGGCAATCTATGGGGAAGGCCTATGTTCAGCAGTGGACTTATATAGGCTGTAATGGATGGATCGACATATCACAAGTTTTTTTGTCATTAATCAAAATTAATCATGGTAACATATTTTACTCTCATTTTTATAGTACGTATATATAATATTGTGTTTGCATATTTGTTATAATCTTTTGGCTATGCATTTCCGTATTACAGCATGTATTAAATAGTAAATGAATTAAAAAAGTAGGCAAACAGAAGATGTCTCATAGATTACGTAAGTTTACAATATAATGTTCGAGAAAAGTTTATTGCTATCGTTATCCGATAAAATATGTACATTGATACAAAAGATATAGCTATTAATGATGTAGATATTTAATAATTAGATAACAAAACAGGTAAATACCGATCACTGGTCACATAATCGTTTTTAAGTTATAAATGTCTGTTTAAAATAAAATCCTCTTTTACAATTCAATAACATCGGACGCAACAAAATTTTATTTAACAAATATGTCATTATTAGCATTGTAAATGGTATATAAAGAAGTTATGTAATATAAAACATTTCAAATTGCACAGAATCGCACTTTAACCGTGCCGTAACTATACATCGTTTACGGAAAACACAGCCCTTACATGGTGCCCGTACTTTAGCGATATACATAATATAATGTCCTCCAGACCGAATTTTGGCAACGGTGGCCAGTTTTAAGGGAATTACAGGAGCTAAACACAAGTTTTATAACGCCTTAGAGTATATGATGCAATGCAGTAAACAAAATCAGAAAATATGTTATTTTTCAGGATATATGCTAGTAAGATAATGTGTTGAAAACATGATACAAAAAAATTGATACGATAGAAAAAAATCACAAAGATACCTCTAAAAATTATTTTAACGATTAATTTAACAATCATACTAATATGCATGCAATCATTCAGATTTTTTGTCAGATTAATCTGCAAGCTGTTGATTGTATACACTATTACGTTAATATGTTTATTAACGTAATAGTGTTTTAATTTTTTAGTCCAATCAATAGATATTTTTAAATCGTATAATTTTTATTTCTGAACAAAATACGTACGCATGGCTGCGTAAACGTCTGTGTACCGACAGTGCCGTGCCGGCCGAAATTGTGTAAATGTATGCATGCGTCATTCGAGGTCACTTAGCTCTTGTAGTCCTCTTAACGGAGATCAGCCATCCGCGCAGGACCGGATTAGTGAATAGGAGCGTGTGCAAGCAAAAGTGCACACTATTCCTTTACTCTTATAGTCCAATAGGATAGGACGGCAATCCGACACTATTACGACTGAGGTGACACGCGGCACGGGTATGAAACACCGCCAATTTCCTGACTCCGGACTGCTACTGAGAATATTGTAGTGCAGTCACCGCAACCTTCAGTCGGTAGTATTGCCGTGTCCGTGTACATAGGAAAAGGGATTAAGGATTAAGTCACATTAGGCGCAAAATCAATTCGAAGCATAGCGGTCAAACTTGTTACTATCAGATCAGAGTAAGGCCGTGCGAATGCATCTAAATTCTGGCGTTTTTTGTGACCGGTAGTGCAATTGTGTAATTGATGGGAAGTGGTTGCCGGTGTGAATCACTTCGCAACCGCGTTATGTTTCTTTTTTGCTATAGTAATATTTTGTTTAAAAAAAGTTATTAAACATTGTAAAGACAGTACCTATTAATAAATTGTTTTCTTTAGCCAGAACGAAGTAACACATAAAATGACCAGGTTCTTGTCAATAAAACCTTTTAGTCGTGTGTGAATAGCTCTTAATAATGTTATTAGCTTGAAAATCGTTTTAATTAAAAAAAAGTGCTGTTTTATGATACTTACAGTTCAGCGATAATGGGAAATAGCGTTTCGTTATCGACGTTAAATCTGTAAGAGAGAATACAATCGATCTTAATTTAATACATAAATAACCCATTCAAGGCGACGTATGAAACCTTGTAATCAATATTTATTTATGATCATGCAGAATACAATGCACAATTGACATTTGATTTGGAATTGGACATAGTTACGCAAAAAGGATCCAAGGTAATTTGTGTTAAAAATATTCAGTTGAAAAATAATGTTTGTGGTCTATACTATTATGTGATGCAACAATTTTAGCGAAAGTAACACAAATAAGAAGAAAAATTACAAACACACACACAAACCATACAGATCCATTCTTCAAATTTCATAACCTCAAATTAGCTTTCTTTTTAGGGTTGGATCCTTTTTGCATTACCACGTCCAATTGGATTCTGTCACCTCAATCAATTTATGTTCTGTAAATACCCTAAGAACGGTTGTGGATGATATATTAAAACTACAATAAGAAATAAGACTATTCATTCTTGACACAACCACGTTTGGCGCTCTTTAGCAAATGTCACATAAGCTGCTTTACGTTGTGAGAAACAGATACTTGTAGGCCATATAAATAGTTGTTTCGTGCAAGATTTAAACTCGTAATCATGGCGCCGCAGCCAAAGGCTTACCCACGCGCTACTGATCGTCAATTACTAACACTCGAATGAAATGAATGGTAGGTCCTTAAGATTGTTTGGGAGGTTTTATAACATTTTAACTAGAATGTTTTATCATTAGTACTTATAGACTATATTGCAGTCCATTGATTCAAGCCGACAGATTACTATTCCTATGCCTAAGATGTTATAACAAATCCCCAACATTGGACGGGATAAGTCAACGCTTTGTTCTGTCGCCTCTGTCGTTGCTCTCGTCACTTGTTTGGACGTTTTATTCTACTTTACCGTTTTTATAAGCTCGTTTTCTTATCTGTTTGTCACAAATTTTGCAATCATTTTTAAACTAACAGTCTACTCCACCTATTCTTGAAATTTTAAACATACTTCAAAACTGGAAACATGGTAAAAATGATCATCATTTTGAACCATAACCAATCTTTTTATTCATCATCATCTCATAAACTACGAGATTATCTCACCCGTAGTCGATATATAGTATTCTCAATAAAACTGATGGTTTTTTAAAGCGATGCCTTTAATTATTTATGCCACAACTAATATATTGATAGATACCAAAGAAAACTAACAAAAAAGCAGTATCACTTTATACTAATGTCTTCCGTAATTTTCTTCTAGCCCGTTCTGAAAATCCTTCCAAAAAACACTAAACCCAAATTTCATAGTCTAGTTATACTGAAGCATCATTACTACTGCAATAGTATAGGTTGTACGGTAACAATTCGACTGTCCAATGTGGTGTGTATGGGCAAATCTTTGTCCGTCTGATATAGTGTAATTATTTGATGTCAACTGCTGCATATATAAGTGATACGCGTGGGGCATACAAGAACAGCGTCAGAGGTGTCATTTGTCTGGTAATTACACCTTGTGTTTAGAATAGTTTTGTAAAAAAACACAAAAACCGGCAATAGGCGTAACCAGACGCCGTATACAGTGATTAGATGCGTGTGTTTGAACACATTTATCAATAGAAATGAATAAACCAAGGCAAAACTTACTCATTAATCCCTTCAAATATTGCTTCCTTAGCCGTAAGTCCACTGTCAGTGTTAGGTCCACTCTGAAGGAGATATTTTAATTGAATATGCAAGTTAAAATTGTTTCGATTTCGTTATAGTATAATAATATTTCTATTGGACTAAAGTTGGATTAGATATTTTTTTGGCAAAAAGCGAGCATACTGTCCACCTGATGGTAAGTGGATGCTGTAACCCACAGACAGTAACATCTATCCTCGATTAAAAATCAAAATGTAGATGCGTTGTTACCCCTGAGGTCGAAGAGGGCGTCACCAATAAAAAGGGGTTCAGAAACTCATCACTCACTATAAGACAAACAGCACAGCAACAGCAGCATTATTGCGACTATTTCATACTGGCAACATTCTGTCAGAGCATGCTCTTTCCCCCGGTTGTATATGTGTACTAAAACTACAAATATATTTGTACGTACTATAAACTTAACACTACTCACTAAATTTATACCATATAACAATACAAGATAAATGGCAATCTAGTTAACAGACGCCTAGAATGAGGATGTTTTATATACCACTCCTCGTAGGTAGGTATGACATATCTGAGATAATTATTTCTTACAAACAAAAGTTAAATAGAAAAAATCTAAAATCATTAATTTAATGTAACATTAATTTTTTGTATCAATGTCTGAATAAAGGGCTATTATTATTATTAATGGAAGCCAAATGATTTTTACCAGACCAAAAGAGACTAAGTTTATTACACATAAAAAAGATACCTATTTATTATAGTAAACAGCCAGATTTTATGAAAATCTAAGCGGCATCATGAAATTTGAAAAAAAAAGAGTTTTTTTTCATATTCGTGTTCTGGCTAATGTGATATGAAAAAGTAATGCTTGTAAGGAAGAACAAACTACTAAAAAGATTTTCCATCAATCTTAAAATATCTATAAATGCTAAATGTACCTACAAATTTGTTTTATACTATTCATTACTGACCAGTGCATATTCTAACTTAAATAATACCGGTGAAAACTATTAGACAATCGCTTTTAGGTTATTGTGATATTCATATTTTAATTGTTAATTTCTCAGTATTCCCGCTAGATGCGATAAAACTAATATTACTACTGTAATCTAAAGATTATAAGGAATAAATCGACATAATATTTCCATTAAGTTACGCCAGAATTAGTGGTGGGCCCATTTTCCATACAAAAAGAAATTGTCTCCTTGATACCAGACGTCTTGCACCTTAGACGTTGCTACCGGTAGCCTGGAGTAAAAAGATGATTATACCTGGAAGATCTCTGGTACTTCCCATAGTCACTTCTTACGACATCCACGGGACGAAATGTGGTGTTAGATCGACCTACACCGCCACCACACAACGAGTTTACTTGACTTCTTCATGAAAAGTATTCATCATCATCATCATCATTACAGCCCTTCACAAGTTCACTGCTGAACATAGGCCTCCCCCAAGTAATGCCACAAACCACGGTCCTGAGCCACCTGTATCTATTGACTTCCTGTATGTCTTACCAGGTTCTCACTCCATCTAGTGGGGTCGCCCCACATTTCGCCTACTGGTACGAGACTGCCACTCGAGAACCTTTTTTCCCCATCGGTTGTTGGTTCTTTGAACTATATGGCCGGCCCATTTCCACTTACTTACTAATTCGTTTTGAATATATTTATACTTACAAGGGTCAGAAGCACCTCTGGTTTTAGTCGTTTCAACACATCTTGAAGCTATGAAAACAAAAAACTTATTAGATCCTCCCTTGTAGTGGCATAGTAAGAGAATCCACTGCCAGATATCATCCTGTGGGCGTCGTAAGAGGCGACACAGGGAAATAAAACAAAAGATGGACAGCAACTTCTTTCTAATAACAATTTAAAATAAAAACTGCAGTTGTCAAGCGTAGCAACTATAGTAAATATCCCCTATGAGGAAATCTACGGTGGAGGCATATGTTCAGCAGTGGACTTTTGAAAGGCTCTAATGATGATAATGTTGTTTATTTGATTCATGAGGAAAGCTATATATATATAATAAAAGTATTAGAGGAAATGTGATTTACCAACAGGCAGGGAGCACAGTACAATGGAATCTTCCCCACTCCAAAAACCACTCTATAAAATGAGAGCAAGCCTAGACCCAGCAGTGGGATTTTATAGGTATGGGCTGCCTAATACAACAAAATGGTTGTTCCACCGTCTTTTAGAATCCTTAAGATCTTCTTAGTGTTTTTCTTTGATAAATAACTGGATAAGATACATTCTCTTCTTACGACAGGTGTAAATACTCATATAGTCATAGATGTTCATAAATAGTACAAGGGTTTCCACTGCTCATATTGTGTAAATTTTAATATCTATACTTGTTACCTGTATGTATGCACTTTATTCATTATGTGTGGTTCTATCTTGAAAATACTGCAGTTAACCTGTGTGTGTGACTACACTACAAGCAACTAAATTGGTCAATTTGTTCAGAAGTAACATGATCGCCCACACGCAAAATACGCGCTTAGACTTAGCTGCGGAAAACAGCTTGTTGTAATCTAATCTAATCTAAATTAACATCCTAACAGATGCATCATAAAAACGATACATGTGGAGAATATTTTACAAATTTCTCAATATTTTTTTAGTTACTCTATGATTTTATCTCCACACATTTTATTGCTGAATACATTTTAAAATTGAAAAAATATAACATTTATTGAATAACTAATATTACCAAAATGTTATTTTAATTTAAATAACAAAAAATATATATTTTTATTTATAATACATAAATTGTAATGGTGTTGAGCTCTTGGAATAAAAAATATACAAACTGCACACTCTCAAATTTAAAACAATATTTTACATGTTTGGTCCATGAACTACCAATAATTTTCAGATGGAGATTGTAGAAAATTGGCAATTTTAAGTGTTGATTGACCACAATCTCAACAGTAAAAGAAAATATCATGAAGAAACCTGCATGTTTCAGATATTTAAAATATTTTGTGAACATGAGAAGCTGGCCCACATGGTACCCCTATGTTATGTAGTGAATTCTTATCTATTCTGAAATCCTCTTAAAAATATCTGGACTGTGATGAGACATCGTTGGGCTGTTACTAAACCTTTTTACAGACACATACCTCGTCAACGTAGTATACTTCATCAACTGCATATATATTTTTGAAATTTGCACATGACAAACGTTTCCCCATCCACACTTCATACTCTTCAGGTAAGCGTGGTACAAACAAATAAGCCTTTTTTGTGCCAACATCCAATGCAAAGTAGCAACCTGGCTCCCGAACTCCACATATCCAAGTGAAGTATGATTCCTAGAAGAAATATTGAGTAATCATTTATCATTTTTATTTCTATTCCTGTGTAAGATTTTACTGAACATGGGAAAATATCATTGTTATGACTAATGTTTGTTATTGCCAAGTTTATTAGGCAGGTTAGTGATTAAAATACCAGATATATTATTTAACACTACTCTATGTCACCATCCTATTTTATTACATCATTAGAAATGGCAACACTGCCACCAAGCCACTGGACAACAAGCCATTAAATAAATTTTAAATATTAGTTTTAAAATTATGGAACTGTATACAAGCAAAACTAATCAGTTGAAGAATTGTTTCAGAACTATCAATAGGAAGCCTAGGTTCAGCAGTTGACCTTAAGAGGCTGTAATGATCGAAATCGAAATTTAAAAAAACATCCTAATTTCAATAGTAAAGGATGCCCATTTCTTGGGATCCTGTAATTAATAAAATTAAAGCTAACAGGCATATCACTACAAGATTTCAAGATATACTGTAAGGTCATTCTGCATAGATTGGACCAAAGTTAATAATTAAACAGCTGAAGGTAAGTAGGCACCCGAAAAGTAATAAAATAAAAAAATAAGTCAAATAAAACACAATAAAATCCGTAAAACAAATTTAATTTAATTTTTTGGCACCTTTAGGGCTGTTAATTTCAAATAGATTAATGCATAATTAGTCCAAAATTAAATTTGCATGACTTAATAAAATAGCAGCTTAATGTTACTGTGTTTCCTATGGAGAGTGTAGAGAACCAGAGAACCATTTTACTGAAAACGAGCCATTCCATCTTAGTCCTGAGAGGTGACAATGTATCTGTATTTTGATTCTTAATTAAGGATAGATGTTGATATCTATGGGCCATAGCATCCACTTAGCATTCTGACTTTGTGCTTTTTCAATATTATTCTACAAAAAAATCTGTCTTAGCACCAACTTCAGAAGAAATAAGAAATTATTGAATTATTATTAGTTTGTTAAAATCAGCTTATATACTGTATTTTTTAATACTACAAAAGTCATCTTTACTGTGGCAAATATATATAGTAATAATAATATAAAATACATTTTATCAAAAAGAAATAACTGAATTTATTAATTTCAAAAAATTATTACTGTTCAATGTTACTGGAAGCTTTGTACAGAAATTATATTCAGAATGTGAATGAAATTCAACCCTCGAAATTAATGTAAAAAAATGTAGGTTCATAAAATAACACTACGTTTAAAACAAGAAAAATCAAACCAAATTTTCTGCTTACCTGTCTAAAAACATATTCCACATCCGTGTCATAGTGGTTTATGCTATCGCCACCTTGAAATATAACTATTTGCCCATTTTTAAGCTTTTTTGCAAGCCTTTCCCTATTTTTAGCAAATAGAGATAATGGAACTTCTAAGGTACCAGGGCCCATTGACCAAGTAACCGTCATTATGCCTGGAAGAAATGTAATGAAGTGATGAAACGTATTACGTTACAGTTTGTTATCTAATCAATTATTCTTATTTCCATGTACTCTGTAAAATCAACAGTATAAATCAGATCAACTAATTGGCGTAATGAAATTTGTTTATCGTGCTGTAGCGCAACTGAGTAAGATAGCAAGTGAAGTATATTACTAGTTTCTTATATATACAATGTACTCTGTGATTCTCAGCTCTGTCTATGCTAAATCTGATTTAAATGTAAATAAATACCAATACCTTATTAATAAATGTCCTAAACTTATTCACGTAGAAAATTAATTAACTATAGTACAAACAAAGGCTTAGCTTTCCATTGACTCCCGTCGAGTTGGGGGTTGATACGTATTTTTACAGAAAAGTTACATTATTATAAGCACACACACAAAGTTACAACATGCGGAAACGCGTAATTTTTGAGAAAAAAGTTATTGAAAATCAATTATTCTTGCATTGTTTATATCTAATCGTCTAATCCTACCATAAAATTGACGCCATTTTGTAATGTCATTGTCGTCACTAGGGATGTCGATTCTTTCCGAAAAAGGTCGATTTTTAAATCGATTCAAATCGTAAGCTGATGTATCGATACATAAAAAATCGATTTCTAAAATATCTATATTTTTTATGTTTGCATTTATAATGTAAATATAATTCCATTTTATGAAAAATAAGAAAGATACCATAATAAATGATCTCTTATTGAATTTTGTTTTATTTTAACAGTACCAATTAGGGCAGATAACAAATAAAATGGGTTAGGTTCAACTTATGTCAAAGAACCGAATTGATTGACTCCGACTCCACCTGGTACGAGTCTGTCTTACCCCTAGAGCTGTTTTAAAGAGCCGGAAGCGCGTAGGGGGAGAAGCCGAAGCTGCTGAGGCGAGAAGGGATGCCTGCGATTTGTTACGCTAAGGCGTAGAGGCTGCTCTTCCCGCAGCGCCGGAGACGTAGCAGTCTCAAAATAGATACAGAAATCCTTCTGAATTAGTCCCCCTATATTTTATGATGAAGGAGATTTTTTTCTCATAAAATGGATTTATATTTACATTATAAATGTAAACATGAAAAAATATAGATATTTTAGAAATCGATTTTTTGGGAATCGATACATCAGCTTACAATTCGAATTTATTTAACTTTTTTCTCAAAAATTACGTGCTTCCGGATATTGTAACTTTGTGTGTGTGCTTATAATAGTGTAACTTTTCTGTAAAAATACGTATCAACCCCCAACTCGATGGGAGTCAATGGAAAGTCGTACCCAAACAAATATTCATAAACATTTACATTACTTATCCCGTCATCAATAGTCATTACTCATTACTTACTCATAAATATATATTACTCTACTCTATGCTCGTAAAAGTAAACAAACACTATTATTAGTACTCACTGGTACTCTTTTCTTCTTCTTTTAAGTTATGGCTTCTACCATTGAAGTCTTTGGCTTCTAAAGTCCAGTCGCGGAACACGAAGAATTTCGTACAATGACCTCTTTACCTACTGACAGTGGTCACAAACATTTTTGTATTTAGTGCGGTTTACATGAAATATTTGAAGGAGAAAGAAAATTTACCAACTTATGAAATATAGTTATTATTATTACATAAATTATTTATTTACATTTTATATTACAAGTAATAAAAATCTAGACAAGTATCTACTAATTCGGCAGAAAAAAAATCTAAAATCAGAATCCGATTCCTCTGTATTGGAGTAACTGCTTTCCGAAGACGTCTCGCCTGTCATATTTATCACAAAAAAATCAACAGTTTTGTCTACATTATCATCTAGTCTAGCTAAATTCGATTCCTCTTTTTTTACGTGACTGATGCAATTTTGCCATTTTTCCTAAAGCCTCCTGGAGCAGCTTTTTAACATCTGCCATCTTAAATGTTGTATTTTTTCGGGCCACATACCCCTTGACCTCTGCCCACACTAGTTCGATGGGATTCAATTCACAATGGTACGGAGGTAATCTCAATATCTCCACACAAACTGCTTTTGCCAGCTCATCGACCACGTACGATGGTACTGAATCTTGACATCTTTCACCTTTTTCAAGAGCTGGACTTTTTTTTCTTTTGCCTCAAATGAAATTTGCTTTGATGAAAGCTATTCTTGAATATCTATTTTTTTCCAACTAGTAACTGGGATTTTTTCCTGGCGTCTTGAGTAGTAGCTGGTATTACCCATGACAACCACTGCGTTTGGCTCAAGTCTCGGTAGCATTGCTTGAAACCAATGTTCGAACTTAGCTGCATTCATCGATTCGTGATAATCGCCTGTACCTTTGCATTCAAACACCAATTCCGATTCTGGCACGAATCCTTGTTCACCTCCTATATGTAAAATAACTAGCCGGTTGCCTTTGGAAGTAGGATTCTTGGCACCCGTCGACAAACCCTCCAAAAATGCTTGTTTTCGTGACTGCACTGTAGTGTCTTCCCACACCTTGCCAACAGTGTGCCCTGAAAAGTAAATACTTACTTACTTACTTATCTTCACGCACAATCCCTGACGGGGTAGGCAGAGAGAACAGATCGCCAAGTGTCACGATCCTTACATACCTCTTTCGCTTCTTTCTTCTTCTCTCCCCTCTTCGAGCAATTTGCTCACATGGTCTTCGAAAGTTAGTCTCGGTCTACCTCGACACCTTTTAATATTTATTTTCGAAAAGTAAATGAATAAACTAATCAAAGGTTTAAACAGTTAATAGCGGTTTAGGCGTGTAAAGGTGACAGACAGTGTTACTTTCACATTCATAATTTTAGTATAGATTTAAGACAGAAAATAATAAAAATAAGTCTTACCCGCATTCACCAAGTTTCATCCAAGTAATATATTGGTTGTTGTTGCTGTCGGTAAGTTTTCATATTTTTCAAATATTTGATACGCCACAATGCTGTGTCATCTCTGTCGATTAACCCGTTATTTCGCCTTCGTTTGACATACTTCAAATCTTTCAGTAATTTATTCAACGATGTCAAGCCCATGTTTGGTAAGGATTCGTCTGTATTTATGATATGTAGCACCTTTTTTGCTGTAGGTAACTCTCCTTTTAAATAAAATCTGTGCACTATTCGTCTAATGCACGATTTATCGAACCCATCAATCTTTTCAATTAATGAGAGTCGTTTTTTCAGTGAAGCAGCTGGCTTGACGGTATCTGTGTCGGTATATTCTTTTAAGATACGATATATGGCCGATTTCGAAATGCCCAAGATATCCTGTTTTATCCTTCATATCTTTTTTTGAAGGATATTTATCAGCAGGCCAGGATTCTTTAACGTATTTAAACACGTTAATAATCATTACCTTCTCAGATACACTAAAGTGTGACATTTTTCTTTTCTTCCGCGGAGAAACAAACTCCTTGAATGGTCGCGAGATAGACGGCGCTGGTTCCATTTTAAAAGAGTGAATAAAACTTAACAAATTAACAAAACCACTTAACAATTAAAAGAAGATAACAAAAACTAACAAACAACAATAAACTAAGAATAGGTAAATAACTGTGTCCGAAAACTGAGCGATCACTAACGCATCCCAAGATGCGATGGAATGTCGTTCGTTATTTAAACATTATTAATTACGTCAAGGTCAAGCAAACCAAGGACTTTTTGTCGTGACTCAAGGCCAACCAAAACCACATTATGCAAAAAGAGAACAAACCTTATAGTCTCCAGTAAAAGGTTTACAATCCCTGAGGACGGCGGCCATTGCATCTGTGCGAGCGAGACTCATTGTATTTACGCGGGAGTGACAGAGACAGGTAATGACAGTTCAATGTACAAAATTCTTCGAATTCGAAATATACGAAATTCTTCGTGCTTCGCGATTGGACTTTACTCACCAACACCAAGTTTGACCTTCTGACAGCTGTCATGTTGATCTGAAATGGATTAATCAAAAAATCGATTATTTAGAGTAAAATAACCGATTTTTGAGATCGATGTGGGACACTACATTGATTCGATGAATCGATCCAAATGTCCCTAAAGCTTCGGCCACACACAGCGAATATTCTCTGCGAGTGAATTCGCTGTGAATATTACTCACAGCGAAAATTCGCTGCTTGCTTGTCACATACAGCGAGTACTACACGAGAATTATCTATAATATTTATCTTTTATATTCTTAAATTTTCTTTTCAATTGCTCTTGGGTTGCTATTTCGAATCTCAACTCAATTAATTTGTTAAACAATGAAGGCGTCTGCCTTTATGTTTTTTTTTTAATTACTGTTATTTGTGTCAAACAGCTCCCCATTTTTTCTATACACACCCAAGAAACGAATTATATCGAATTTTCCCCATTTTATAGAATCGTTTATCGGTTAACTTATTTGATTGACTTACACACACGTATCATGCAGCAACGAAACGATCTATGCTCAGGCGTGTAGTCTGGAGCGGAATGGCTACTCGCAGCGAGTACCCTGTCACACACAGCGAATTCTGGCAGCGAGTGCTCATTCGTAGAGAGTAAAATTGAACATGTTCCATTGAATTCGCAGCGTATTCAACTCGCGGCGAATAGCCTGTCAGACAGCGAATTCTCGCTGCGATTAGGCACTCGCAGCGAGTATTCGCTACGCGAGACCGAGGCTTAAGATTCGTCTTGCGTAGTTGTGGCAGTAACATAGGACATATATTTGAATTTTTCACTTATCAGTAAATTTTACGCAGTCGGTTTTTTTATTACTGATTTAACCATTGGGCTTGTGATTTAGTGGGTTTTGGCATACTTTGAGATTGACTGATAGTCGATTATGTTAAAATGTTAAAAAGCTAAATTCCTGTTCATATAAGGAAGAAAAATGCAGTCGGTTCAGTCTTTCAGTATCCAGATAAATTCGTTCTAGTGTAAATAACCAAATTTTTATCGGTAAAACAAGGTCTCTGACAATACTATTACTCCCCGGCCAGTACATAATTTTTAATAAATTACCTTTGAATATT